ATTCCAAAAGCTAGCTAAGAATTTATTTGAACAAACTATGCCTCTTTTTGCCTGAGCTACTATTAGCTTCAGTAACTTAATACATCCCCTACCGTTTCAGTAGTGAGATCATGGAACATCCCAATTAGAGTTGAAGTGATGAAACTCAACTATAGAACAAGATCCACATTATACCTTTCTTTAACCAGAAAGCAACCCTCCATGAAAATGCAACCACAAAACAACAGATAAAAGCACTAAAATCAGCTGTATCCAGACAGATCTCCAAGAATGTGCTGTGGCCATACGAAAAAGATCAGGGGCAAATTTTGGGGGAAAACAAAGGAAAGCAGGAATTCGCTTTTCAAAAGACGATGGCATAGCAAAAATAAGTATTTACCAGGATTATATATCAGCAAGCGGGCATTTGGTCTAGTGGTATGATTCTCGCTTTGGGTGCGAGAGGTCCCGAGTTCGATTCTCGGAATGCCCCATTCAATTTTATCGAAGAATCTGACCAAAAAGCCAGCAGAAATCTGTCTTGTTTATTATGTTTTTTCAGTAATGATTTAGAATTTCACACACAAAACCCCTCTACATAACATGATCAACCCCAAAAGACCAGATATGAGGCACTTACACTAGTTTGCTACCAGGTACTTAAAGAACGAGCTACTGGAACTGGGGAAGGCCATTCACAAATTTCTAGCGCAAAATAAAACTAAAAGGAAGGTGATTAAAATTACCAAGAACCTATTGAACAGCAAAAAAGAATGTGTTATCCAATCGACAAACCGGGCATCTGTCTAGTGGTATGAGTCTCAGGATGCCCCTGGACTTTTTACATACACCATCAAGCACCGGGAAAAAGAAAGATGCTGGAAAATATGAAATGTATCCTTTGCCTTATTTTTCACTTTAAATCCAAAGAGGCCCAACAATTATCTCTAGTACATCAACAGGAAACCTTACGGGTAATATAGCACAATAAAGGCATTTGGTCAAGTGGAATGCCCAAATGACATTTATGAAATCATACTTTAAAAAAGCCAGATCAAAGTATTCTAAAACTCATATGATTTGCTTTGTCTTTCACAAATAAAGTTAAGCAGATGGCAGTTTAGAAAGAGAAAATTATCAACCAAACTAGCGGCTTTTGACCAATGATTGGATCAGTTTCAAACAAAATTGTCAAGATCCTTAGCATTTTGAGCCAAAAGGTATCACCTGCCAGGAATTTGGTCAAGTTACATGATTCTGACGTTGGGTTTTAGAGGTTCCAACTTCAGAACTAAGGACACCTTATCTAGACAGTAAGTGCTGAAAGTCAACTAAGAGAAATAATCCACAATATGACAGAAAAGCATCTCTTCATGAAAGTTTCATCCACAAAACACAAGAAAGCGGGCACTTACAAGAGCTGTGTGCACTGTACAGTCAGATTATTAAAGAACGTGTTCCAAAATCTGCATCAGAAAACAAAGGAAAAAATGAATTTCGGAGCAAACAAAACTCTTAAACTGAATCACATCGACAACAAGGCATTTGGTCAAATGGAAAAGTGTTGGCATTTACTATGGTAGTATTGCCTCATTCTCCAAGAATGAGCCGTAGCAAACGGAAGAAAACCGTGCTGAACTTCTGGCCAGATAACATTAGAAAGCAGTAATCCGTTTTCCAAGAATGGATTCACTAGCAAACAGGGTACCAATCACTTTTCAGATGAATTCTTCAAAAACAGGGCATTTGGTCTAGTGGTATGATTCTCGCTTTGGGTGCGAGAGGTCCCGAGTTCAATTCTCGGAATGCCCCATTGACTTTTATAAATTTTTATATTACAAAAGTCAGCTGAAATATATCATACAAAAAAAGATCTTTTTGTTTTCTTCTTTAACTGAATTGCTGGGCCAAAGGGCATTTGATCCGGTTAAAAACGCACACCTCGCTCACATTTTCGGCAACAGAAAAGCAGACGATAGACTAATGACTTTACAACAATTTTTCCTACATTTAAAATAACAAACAACCAGATTTTTAGCTATTCAACAGAAATGCATGAACGCCTGATATTAGTTTTCACTCAGAAATCCCTCCCAAAATCTATTTTACTATGAACAAAACATGCATTTCTGAAGAAAGATTTGAACCACAAGAAGAAGGTTGAGTTTAAAGCACCAAATGCCAACTAAGACAAGAGTCAAGAAGTATTTTCCACTGAGATTCTTCAATAGTGAGTTATAATCTTTGAGATAACAAACATGCATTTCAGAATAAGTTTTAACCGAAAACATCAGAAAGCGGGCATTTAGTCTACCAGTAAGTTTCCCCTTGTCTCAAGTACATTTCTAAGGATGCTACCAAAGAAACATTTTCTTTTCCCATGATTTCTCACTCTGAGCTCATTCTAGAGTAAAAAATGTCAGCAAGCCCATCAACCCTAACGCCAGCACCAAAATAAGCATAGGTCTCAAAAAGCCAACACTAGAAAAGAACCATAAAATCATGTCAAGAATTGTGTAGAAACAAATAGCAGACCCTTGAACAGCACAAGGGCGTTTACCAATCCGGCCTGTGGATATGAAGATGAAAACTTAAATAGCCATCCTCTCCTCCGTAAGCAACTTACACACCAACGAAAACACACTACCCAAAGGATTCACCATTCCAAGGAAAGAGTTTATAGGAAAAGCATTGGAAGGGGTGTAATCGCAACGATACACCGACTAAAGAACGCTTAATTTCATCACATACCCTTAAAAACCGATAAAATCAAAAGAGACATTCAATTGAATCCCATAAATCGGTAGAATCTTAACGAAAAAGATGAATCACCCAATAAGAAAGACGCATAGATAGAAGCATACCTCCGATGAGACAACAATTCGATGAAGAAAGATTTCAAACCCAGTTAGGGTTTCAAGTTCCACGTATGAGCTCTCTCTCGAGAGAGAGATCAATCGGCGGAAAGCGAGAAACTTTGCATGGAATCGCGAGACAGAACGAGTGGAGGAGCGAGAAGAGAAGCACTGTTCGGCGTATGAGTCAGCTAAAAGCTAAATGGTTTACCCCCCGAGAACCGAATATATTTAATTATTTATTCTTAGAACCCCTTTTTAAATTAGGTCAATTTTGATACAACACATAAGAAAAAATTAACTTTGATTTTGTTAATAAATTATAAAAAAAAAAATATTTCATATTTATTAAAATTAAAAAAGATACTCTTAATTTTTTTCTAACAAAATTCGGGTATGAATATTGGGGGTAAACAAAACTCGAACATCCAAGACTTATAAAGACGAGATCGAGTGTAAAATATTAATATCCGATAAACTCAGACACGGATTCGTAAACAGATCCCTTGATTTACAGAATAAAACATTGTCCGAAACTGCAACATCTCCTTGCTATATTACAATCCAAATCAATTCCTTGCACATTGATTCTTTCATAAATTACGTATCCTTTTTAGGAACCAGACAAGGACACTCTTTAGATTCATTATGCTCAGAGGACAGCCTTCTCTTCAAATCGATGATGATCCATTCTCAATCCGGAGCTCAAGCAACACTGATCGAGAGCGGAATTCGCGCGAATTCCGTCGAGCAGATGCTCGGCGATCCGTCCGTACGAAGCCTCCGTCATATGAACACCGTCGAAATACACGTACTCGGAAGGATCGCTGCAGCAAGGAACTCCCGATCCACACTGCTTCCCCAACGTGAAGTTGTAAGGGCCGCCCTCTCCGCAGCAAGCAGCTAGATGCATTTTCCCGAACCCTGGAAAAAAAAAATCGGTTTTTGGGAATTTAAGAAAATAATCTATTCTAGTTATTTACATTAACAACTTGAGATTTTAATAGTCTCTATAAAGTTTTGTAACAATTTGAGAAAAATCACATATTAATACACCAACCTGTAAAAAAAAATCCTAGATAAATACACAAATTATAACATCTCTAAAAATTATATGAACTCTTATTAATTTCTTATATTTAGCTCAAAATTTTAAAATTCGTGTATTCATAAAGTTTTTCGAGCTGATCGTCGGGTTTTGTGGAGTATAGATCCAAATAATAATACCGTATTTGGATGGTTGGGCATGAAAACGCGAGACAACGCTGTAGTAGTCTCCGTATACGATGTTGACGTGAGGGTAGAGCTTCCGGAGCCTGTCGAGTTCTGTCTGGAGCTGCTCGTTGTGATATTCCGCAAACTCGTTCAACCATGTCAGGCATCCGGTCAAAGGGTCGTATTCTTCCGTATTCCCGGTCTGAAATACCGTCAGATACGCCGTGGAACATCCGATCGGGAAATCTCCGGGGACCAGAAATGTTCTTCCGCCCATATCGATCAGCTCCTGTATTGTTGCGCTTTCAAGATTCAGCCATGCTTATTCAAGGTACCGAATCTTCGGAGATTTTGGTAGAAGGATTCGGAATTCGGACAAGGGTTTTCGAGCGAAGAAACGTTACCACGATCGCGGAAGAAATGGCGTCGACCACGGGTGGAACCAATTCTCTGACGACTTGGATGCTTTTGTGCGTGAAGAAGGCGTAATTGTAATCGTTCCCTCCGATCTCTCCCATGAGAATCAACGAGTTGTTGAGGAACTCGCTGCAATCTGTATCGGAAATATTGCAGAGACCATGGAAAGAAGATTCGGGAAGATTGCGATAATATTATATATATGCATATATACCTGAAGACGGGCGGCATAGAGATGGTAAAATCTCCTTGAAGACAGTGAGTTGAACTCCCAAACTGACGTTGGTGTGATCGAAGTGAATTCCTCTTCCCTCAAGAACTGAATTATCCAATGCAGTTGCTCCGCCCACCGCGAAATTTACTCCTCTCTCGAAGCTTCCGTTTCCGTTTCGAGATCCAAAGTAAGGACGGACGAGCGGTAATCCCATGGAATCGGCTGCGACAAGACACGAGATCTTTATGAACACGTTCACAAAACCAACTCATTATCTTGCCGTTCAAGCAAAAGAAGAAGCAGAGGAAGAACAGAACAGAAGATGGTTGTTCTGTCTTCTCCTCGAAGATTCGGACAAAGGGTTTTCAGACTGACATGTGTCTGTTAAGCTTTTAAACAAGCCAGAAAACTGCGGAGTTCATCCTTCTTGTTCTACAAATTACAGAATTAACATGATATTCTACGTGACTGTAAGTCTGTAACCATCATTTTAGCTTTTGAAATTCGATCTCGAACATACATTTTTCAACCCAAACATAGAATCTCCGACCCTGAGATCGAGCGAGACATGGAATTCGGACAGACATACCGATGAAGTCGATGACGAGACGGCCGTCGGAGAATCGGCCGGTGGGACGGTGAAAGAAGGTCTCTCCGTACGGGGGAAAAGCGACTTGAGGAACATGGCTTGGTTCCGACAAACTGAGTAAGTTCCCGGTGTCGGCGATTGAATCGCCGAAGCTGATGATCGAGTCATAACATCGCCGCCGTGATTCTGAGCCTCCGGCGACTACCACGAGGGCGGCGGCGGCTAAAAGAAGAAGAAGAGGAGGAGGAGTGCGTCTGAATTTCAACAAGTCAAATCTTGAAGACGCCATTGGAGAGAGACACAGAAGAAGAGCTCTATCTTTTTGTCTCCTCTCCTCTGTTTCGCCTTGATTTTTTTTAGTAAAGCTTTTAACCAATAAAAAAAGGTAATGGTTAAATTATTTCGGACAAGTAGTGTTCATATATATATATACACACACACACACATATTTAGGTGTTTCTACCCATCCTCCCATTAATTCGGGAAAAATCCAAGAATCCAAAAAGGAAATAAAAAACAAGAACCCAAAAGAAATAAAAAACAAAAAAAAAAGGAAAATTGGGGACATGGGCCTCTCTGTTTTTTGGTAGTTGGTCTGATATGACTGCTCAGTGCTCATGCATGACTAACATAATTTTGATGCTAAAACAAAATGAAAGTGATCTAAATAAATATATATATATATATATATATATGAAACACTTATTATATATATATATATATATATATATATATATATACAGAAATTTTAAGAAACGTGAAGAGATTTTCGAACACCGACCAAGGCTAATAATGTCTGAATCCTGAGTAGTTTGGTCAAACACAATGTGTTGACTTATCGTTGACTTGAAACAGTAGAATAATGGTATCACTTCCAAGAACTCAAATTCCCAAACCAAATTAGATTTTTTTTTTAAATCATAGACATCATTTTTTATAGTTAATTTTGAAGTTCAATTTCTAATCTATTAGACAGTATAAAACTGGTTTAATTTTTATTATAGTTTGATCTATACATACATTCATATAATTTTTATTTCGTCAATAGAAAAATTCATCCAAATTCAATTTAAAATATCTGAAATTAAATATAATTAAATGGGCTGAATATTCTTGTCCATCTTAAATTTAATTAGGTGATTAATTAACCATCATGCTAATCAATTTAAGAAAAAAAGAAAAAAAATACTTACTAATGAAATGTGGCAAAATTTATATGTTCACGTTAAGATAAATAAATAAAATCGCGAGCAATGATTGTCTTGTCATTATTTTTCAAACCTTTTTTTTTTTTTGTCTTCTGTCTCGATCTGATTTCTTTGTCATTAGATTTCTTTTTTGGATCCAAGCAGGGATGGATGGAGTTCAGTTGGTGGAAGAAGAGGCGGAGGATGAACGCTCATGATGACGTGTATATATTTAAATTTAATATTCGCAAAAACTAATATCATTACTTTTTTAATAAAAAATACAACCATCATGTCAAAATCCGCATTCTGTAATTTCCAAGTTCATAAATCATTTTGAGACGAAGATTCATCCTACTTCAGTGTGAGACTGTTGAGACATTGAAGATTCCGGTTTGGGAATCCGGTTCTGTCTAAACCGAGAAAGAGGGAGAGGGGAATTGATTTAAACCGACCAAGAGAGACGACGGTTTGACGTTAAGGATAAAACGGTCATTTCACCACTCGAGTTAGTTAAGTTTGTTGAAAACAAAGCAATATTCTACCTTTGATTTTTTTAACTCAAATCTCAAACTAATTTCAGTGAAATCTTTAAACTATTTTTTTTATAATAATTAAAAAATACTTAGAAATCTTTATATATATATATATATATATATGATTCATCTTTCGATGAGAAAACTTTGTAATCCCTTTACAACAAACTCAAGAATTAACCAAAGTATGTGTTCTAGTCTTGTACCTTAGTAACTAGAGGCTCAAAGACATGTCCTTGTCGGGCGATGAATTTTGAAGCTTAGAATCGAAACAATACGAGTTAAACGCGGGATCTGCATAAGGTCCCTTGAGCAAACCTTTAGCGATCCATCGATACGCATGCTCGGTTAAATGAAAGCCATCCCAATTCACATACTTTGAAGGATTATCGCAATAAGGCACTCCATCTCCACACAACCTCGACGGTGAATAGTTGTACGGACCACCGGCTCCACAACATACACTTAACGGTCGGTTCATGAACCCTGAAATAAATAGATTTGATTTTGAACGTTATCATATCAATTAGTAGAACTAGATACAAAAAAAAAACAAAAAAATTCAGGTATCCGACCGATCCATATGTCGAATACCCGATTATTATATGAAATGAAATCGGTTTTGGTCATAAGAAAAACATGTATATACCAAGTGAAGAATAAAATTATCTTTTGGCTCCGAGATTTTTAATAAACTATATATAAATCTATCTATGTGATCAAAACAAATTCAAGTTCGAATAATCTTGAGATCCTAGTAATTCGGTTTTGGGTTCAGATAACCCGAAAACCGTAGATATATGATTGATACCCTCCTATCGGTTAGAGATTCTATCAAACTAATTAAAGGTTTTGTTGTGGTTTTCGATTAGATTCAACATTATCCATAATGTTCGTTTTTATTTCGTGTGCATATTTCAATGAAGTATTTAATGGTCGGTTCATGGTTTTCAGTGAAGGATAGATTCAACATACCGAATTCGATCGGATCTTGAAAAAGACGTAACACAACGTTATAGTAATCTGCGTATACGATATTGACGTGAGGGTAAAGCTTCCGAAGTCTATTGAGTTCTATCTGAAGCCGCTCATTGTGATGTTCCGCAAACTCGTTCAACCATTTCAGACATCCGGTTAAAGGGTCGTATTTTTCCATATTTTCGGTCTGATACATCGTCAGATACGCTGCGGAACATCCGATCGGGAAGTTTCCGGGCACCAAGAATGTTCTGCCACCCATATCGACTAACTCCTGTATAGTTTTCAAGCTAAGCAAGATTCATCAATCCGGTTTTGAAAGATCAAAGAATATTGGATAAGGGTTTGAGAAAAAAGTTACCCTAATTGCAGATGAAATCACATTGATAACCAATGGCACCATCTCTCTGATCTCGTCGACGTTTTTGCCCGCGAAAAACGGGTAATTGTAATCGTTCCCTCCGATCTCTCCCATCAGAATCAGCGATCTGCTGAGAAACTCGCTGCAGTCTAAGTCGAAAACATGATGGAAAATTTCATAAAGCCCGATTTCTTTTTCCAAAAGTACAAAACAAGACGCAGGAAAGAATAAAGCTCAAGTCCACAATATATATAGACCTGAAGGCGGGGAACATAAGCTTGGTAAAATCTCCTTGAAGATGTTCAGTTGAACTCCTAAACTGACATTGGTGATGTCACTGGGAACTCCTTTCCCTTTCAGACAGGAAATGTCCAATGCCGTCGCCCCTGCCACTGCGAAATTGATTCCCTTCAGGAAGCTTCTATTACGAGATCCGAAGTAGGGCGGCACAAACGGTAGGTCCAAGGATTCAGCTGTAATTTAAATAAAAAACCCGAGAAGGGAATCACGACCTTTGCTCGAAATTTCTTGAGTTCCTGTCTTTTTGGAACTAACTTACAGTTCAAGCAAGAAGAACCAGAATCACAAGAAACAGATTCGTTTTTTTTCCTTCTTGGGTTGGATCTTCTCAGACATAATTTTTTCCACAGATTTAGACAAAAGGGTATTATCAGTAATCCGACATGATCTGAAGAGACAAAAGGGTTTAGACGATTACTTCTACTCGCCCTCTTGAATTATTGTTTTCCGATGTTTGGACTTCTCCGATTATTTCAATGGATGGTTTTAAGTATTATGTTTTATTTGTGGATCACTTTACGCGCTATTCTTGGCTGTACCCTTTAAAACAAAAATCGCAAGTCCATGAGACATTTGTTCGATTCAAAGGTCTTGTTGAAAACAAATTTTCCACAAAAATCGGTTCTCTTTATACCGATAATGGGGGTGAGTACATAGCACTAAGAACCTTTCTCGCGTCTCATGGCATTTCCCATTACACAACTCCTCCACATACTCCCGAGCATAATGGTATCTCTGAGCGAAAACATAGACATATTGTTGAAACCGGTCTTTCTCTCCTCCATCATGCGTCCTTACCATTATCTTTTTGGTCATTTGCTTTAACAACCGCAACCTACCTCATAAACCGCTTACCGACACCCGTGTTGTCCATGGAATCTCCTTTCACATCTCTATTCAAATCAACACCGAACTATGAGAAACTTCGTAGTTTCGGTTGCTTGTGTTATCCATGGACCAGACCGTATTCCCCACATAAACTCGCCTCAAAGTCTACACCGTGTGTCTTCCTTGGGTACTCTTCCTCTCAAAGTGCTTTCCTATGTCTAGATATAGTAACCAAAAGATTATATGTCTCTAGACATGTGGTATTCCACGAAACCGTCTTTCCTTTTTCGGACATCACTCATTTTTCTAATCCGTCAACAGCCTTGTCACCCGAAAACTCCTCCGACCAAATGGTACAGCCCGTAGCTCTAGCCCGCTCATACACTCCACCAGCTACTCATCAACCGTTGGACGAGCCTCCATGCTTCCATTCTTCACCGCAACCTATGCCAGAGATGCCCATCAGCTCGTCGTCTTCATCGTTGCCGTCGCCCGTTCCATCTCCGGCCGAACCAACTGCGACGTCTCCTCAGAACAAACACCCGATGGTGACTCGAGGAAAGAACCGGATCACCAAACCTGTCAACAAACTCACATTGACTGCTTCTGTTGTGCCTATTGACAGGGAACCTAATTCGGTGATTCAAGCATTACGTGATCCTCAATGGCGGTTGGCTATGAGCGATGAGTTCAATGCACTCGTCCGCAACAACACATGGGAGCTCGTGCCATTCACCTCGGATATGAACATTGTTGGGTGTAAGTGGGTCTTTCGGATCAAGACCAATCCGGATGGATCTATTGATCGGTACAAAGCCCGCCTTGTAGCCAAAGGTTTTCACCAACGTCCGGGTATCGACTTTCATGAGACTTTCAGTCCTGTGGTTAAGCCTCCGACTATCCGGCTAATTCTTAGTCTCGCCGTCACCAATGGTTGGGCCATACGCCAACTAGACGTCAATAACGCCTTCTTGCAAGGCCGACTCACTGATGAAGTGTACATGAGCCAACCTCCCGGGTTTGTTGACAAGGATAGACCGTCATTTGTATGTAAGCTTCACAAAGCCATATATGGTCTCAAACAAGCTCCAAGAGCATGGTATTCGGAGCTTCGCGGGTTTCTCTTGGGTCGCGGCTTTGTGAACTCGATGGCCGACACATCTCTCTTTATTCTTCGCACCGATGCTGCTCACATTTATGTTTTGGTGTATGTTGATGACTTAATTGTCACAGGGGACAAATCGGATCAGATTGAGAAATTCATCGCAGCCCTTGCTTCCCGGTTTTCTCTCAAGGATCTCGGCCTACTATCGTGTTTTCTTGGTATAGAAGCAACCCGATCTCCGAATGGGCTGTTTCTAAATCAACGAAAATACATCGTGGATCTCCTACATCGAACCAACATGCATGAGTCGAAAGCTGTAGCTACTCCCATGGCTTCTACGTCACGTCTCACCATCACGTCTGGAACCCCTCTCTCGGATGGATTAGAATTTCGCACAGTTGTAGGCAGCCTTCAATACTTGTCTCTTACAAGACCCGACATCAGTTTCTCGGTAAATAAGTTGTCTCAATTTATGCATTCACCAACTGATGTTCATTGGGCTGCAGCCAAGAGAATACTGCGGTACCTATCCGGCACTCGGAACTCCGGAATCTTCCTCTCTGCGGCTAATACACCGACATTACATGCGTTTAGCGACGCCGATTGGGCAGGAGATCCGGGGGATCTCAAGTCTACGGGAGCATTCATTGTTTATTTCGGCAAACACCCGATTTCGTGGTCTTCTAAAAAGCTCCCTGGCCATTCCCGATCATCCACAGAGGCGGAATATCGGTCAGTGGCCAATACGTCCGCCGAACTCCGATGGTTGGTCTCTCTACTCTCCGAGCTTGGCATCGTTCTGACCTCTGCCCCGACGGTTTACTGTGACAATATTGGTGCCACGTATCTAAGTGCAAACCCGGTCTTCCACTCTCGAATGAAGCATTTAGCTCTCGACTATTGTTTTGTTCGAGGACAAGTAGAGTCCGGCGCATTACGGGTTCTACATGTGAGTTCAAAGAATCAACTAGCCGATGCCTTAACCAAGCCTCTTCCTCGGACGGCGTTTCATGAGCTATGTGTCAAGATCGGAATCACTCCGGGTGCTCCGTCTTGAGGGGGCGTGTTAGAGATTACGATATATTACGTTTCCTTAGTTATAGGAACTGATTGTAAATCAAATCTCTCCCGTATTCTCTCATCTCTCCTATCTTGTATCTATATATTTGTATATTCTACGCATAATGAAATTATGAGAATTCATTTACCTATAACAGACCAAAGCTTCGAACTTTATCAGAAAATGGTTGACTTTTTCTCTTAAGAAACATGGAATCTGATCAGTTATACAGAGAAAGAGAGTGTATATATACATACCGATGAAATCGATGATGAGACGGCCATCGGAGTGACGGCCGGTGGGAAAGTGGAAGAAGGTCTCACCGTACGGAGGAAGAGCAAAGTGAGGAAGATGATTTGGATCCGACAAGATCAGTAAGTTTCCTGTGTCTGCAATCGAATCGCCAAAGCTTATGATCGATTCGTAACATCGGCGAGGACGATGAGAATCTATAGGGACAGCGAACAGAATCAGCAGAAAGCTTGTCAGAGTCAATGAATGAAGAAGAATATCTGAAGACGCCATTGGAGAGGTAAGCGAAGGTTGTTGTTTTGTTTCCTTTTGTTCACCACATATTTTACGTTGTTTTTGACATTTAAAAACAAGAATAATATTTTTTTACTCAATAGAAGGCAGAAGATATATAATTTATCCGAAGATAATAATAATAATAATAATAATAATAATAATAATAATAATAATAATAATAATAATAAAGTGGTTGACCCTTCATGCATGCGGTAATATATGTATACAATAGTGAAAAAAAAATTTAAGCATAACGTTATTTTAAGACTAAAATTGGTGATATTAATTAGGATGTCACTAATTGCTGCTACGTCATGGGAATTGCGACATAAATAACATTTAATTATTATTTCCAACAAAAATGTGATAATGGTAATATAATGATAATATATACAAGCATATATATATATATATGATCGATTGGTTATATTCCAAACAAATCGGGGGTAGGTTGATGGGCCCCATCTTGTCTGGTCTTGAAATTCAACTCGTGACTTCACTCGGCGAGTTGCACGCTCACTCACCAAATACAGAGGCCGAGACAAATAAAAAATACTCCGTTTTATAAAAATGAAAAAGAGTAAACGTTATGTCAATGTGAGACCAAAAAAAAAAGTGGCATCCGTTTTATAATAATAATTGACGTTTTAGATAATTATTTTTGTTTTTAAATAAATATCATTCTCTTTTCTCTAGATACTTTTTTTTAAAATAATTCTTAAATTTATCCTTAATTAAAACTACCACAATTTTAATAAACTATTAACAAGAATGTAGTTTTTATAATTAAAACTTAATAAATATTAATTATATTTCAACTATTATTATTTATAAAACTAGTTTTCCTTTTTTTTTCTCTATAACATTATCAACATGAATAAATAAATTTACAAAATTGATAATCTCCTTAAATTTGATAACCTCCTTAAATCTCTCTAGATAAAAATTAAAAGATAATAATATTTTTAATAGAGAAATTTATTCAAAAAAGAAAATAAAAAATATGTATTTAAATTATATTTATCTGAAATATTTATAAAAAGATTTGAAATCGTTTAGATCATAACGTAAAAACATTAATGTTGAAATCACAAAGAATATTTAAAGGAGCATAATTTTCTATTTATTGAAATTACAAAATATATTTAACAAAAATATTAAATAAGGGTAAATATGACATTTTTTATATTTTTTTTAAAAGTGTGAAAAAAATGTAAAACGATAATTATTTAGAAGCAGGAGTGAAAAGCTTATTAATCCTTAAATTTCGGATTCAAACTTATGAATATTTATTTTTATTCAATTTTTTTTTATTTTGTTTTGTTTTGTTTTGAAAATAAAAATTTGTTTTTAAATAATTTTATTGGTGACTCATTTATTAGAAATCTAAATTTTGTTTACTATTTTTTTGGACATTTTAAATCCAAATCCAGACTAATTTAAGAGGTAAAAGAAACCCAAGTGAATGTTCTTTCCAAAATTTGAGTGTTTGAATTCGAGATGAAATAAACGTTAAATATTTTTGTTTTATCGGTTGAACTATGAAAGTTTTGGTTATTTTTACTAGTTTTATATTATTCGGTCACATTTACATATTATTGAATTGGAATAGACTTTTGAATCATTAATCAAATTGGTGAGATTAGATTTGTATATATAAAATAAGGTTTCACTAATCACAAATCCTCGATTCAAATTGATTAACATGCATGACCACCATGATCATCTCATGCAGAAGTGAAATGACTTCATCATAATTGTCGTATGACTTTTATGCCAATATTTATAATTTCACATCAACTAGTTTATTTGGTGGTTGAAATCTTTTAAACTTCATTCCAAACTTCCGTGGCAGAAATTGACCATATAGCCCCACAACATTTATTATTTTCATTTATGACCCCAAACCCATATGATTTGCATTTTCACAAAGAAAAAAAGTTTCAAAGAGAGAAAAAAAAAGTGGACATGGCCAAAATATTGAACGATATATATATACATATATATATATATGGAATCAGATATCTACGATTAGTAATAGTAATAATTCTATACCCAAAATATTATTACCATTTGATTACTTATATTTTGGTATCTCATGTAAAACAATCTTGTAATAACTAATAAGGCACATTAAAGTGTCTCACTCCGAATATATAATATATATATATATATATATTTTTTTCTACATGTAATTCAAAATTGTTACAAAATAAAAAAAAATAATCGGTGGTAGTTGAAACTTGAAACTTCATACCAAATCCCGTGGCATGGTTTGCACCTCTTCTCCCCCTCTACCCATATATTTATTCATAAATGGACCCAAAGATTCATCATTTGCATAATTTTAAGAGAAAACAAAATAGAAAAGAAAAAAATCATGGCGACAGTTGAATTTACGGAAATGTCCCTGGTCAAGCCTTCTCACCAACCGTTCTCCACCGACCACACCCTCTCTCTCTCCCACCTCGACAACGACACCAACCTCCACGTCACCTTCCGCTACCTCCGCGTCTACTCCCCCTCCGCCGCCGCCGGCGACAACCTCCCCTCCTCCGTCGTCCCCGGAGCCCTCGCCGCCACACTCGTCCACTACTACCCACTCGCCGGAACCCTCCGTCGCCGCAGCGCCGATGGAGACGACCGCCTCGAGCTCCACTGCAGATCCAGCGATGGCGTGCCTCTTATCACCGCCTCCGTGAACTGCACGCTCGAATCTGTCGAGTATTTGGATGGATCCGACCCGGATTTCGAGGAGAAATTGGTACCCGAACCGACCCGGGAAGATGGAATGCTCAACCCGTGCGTGCTCCAAGTGACGTCGTTCCGATGCGGCGGGGGGGGCCTCGGGGCGGCGATTCACCACGCGCTCTGCGACGGGTTAGGGGCGAGTCTGTTCTTCAACGCCATGGCGGAGATAGCTCGCGGGTCAGGTCGGATCTCAGTCGACCCGGTCTGGGACCGGGAGCGTTTGCTCGGCCCGAGGGACACGCCTTATGTCGGAGCTCCGGTCCGAGACTTCTTGAGCTTGGACAAAGGGTTTGATCCGTACGGACAAGCCATCGGACCGGTCGTGAGGGAATGCTTTGTGGTGAACAACAAGTCACTGGATCGGTTCAAGGCCTTGCTGCTAGAGAAATCGGGACAGAGTTTCACCACGTTCGAAGCTCTAGGCGCCTTCATATGGCGGACGAAGTAAACAACCTGTCTTTCCAACCTGTTCTTTGTCTGAATTTCGTGTAACCTGTTTGAAAAAAAAAACATCAAATACAGGGTGAGATCGGCGAAGATTCCAGCAGACGAGACGGTGAAATTCGTGTATTCGATAAACATAAGGAAGCTAATGAACCCACCATTGTCGAAAGGATACTGGGGAAACGGCTGCGTCCCGATGTACGCACGGATCAGAGCGGGCGAACTCATGGATCAACCCATCTGGAGAATCGCCGAGCTGATAAAGCAGAGCAAATCCAATGCCAGTGACGAGTACGTTCACTCCTTCATCGACTTTCACGAGCTTCACCATAAAGATGGAATCAATGCCGGGAAAGGTAGATAGATCGACAGATCGTTTGAGAATACACTTCCAATCTGCATTTTTCCATATCCTGCTTTCGATATAACGATGGAAAATCTAATAAAGGTTTGATCTTTTTCACTACTTTTAAGCAGAAGTGAGCGGGTTCACGGACTGGAGGCACTTGGGCCATTCGGCTGTGGATTTCGGGTGGGGAGGACCAGTGAAGGTGTTGCCATTATCAAACAAGTTGCTCGGTGGCATGGAACCGTGCTTTTTCTTGCCATGTTCGGGTAAAGGCAAGAAGGACGACGGATTCGAGGTCCTCGTTAATCTGCGTGAAGCCGCCATGCCTATGTTCAAGGAGGAGATGGAGAAGTTCTGCAATGGTGAATTCGTTTTTCCTTAATCACCAATAAAAGAAAACGATTACATGATCATGAATGATCCATAATTTCATCAAGGGAACAAATATATCAAGCATTTGTTACAACTTTTCTGTATAGATTGAGAATAATGAAAGAATAAGCCTTACAGAATGTTATTGGCGATTTGTAAGAGATGACACTGAACGGTGCTCCATTATCAAGCCTCGGTCCCGACCCAACTACGGCCGATTGTTTTCGACACACCTCGGGCCTTCATCACTTCCCGAATCTCGCTAACGTTTTCCCATTTTCCGGCAGAAGCTAGGGCATTCGAAAACGCTAGATATGCCCCTGGCCTATCATCAGCTTCTTTCAACTTGAAAAGCTCCCTCGCTGCTATTTTCGCAAGGTCCACCTCCCCGTGAAGTCTACAGGAACCGAGAAGAGCAGTCCAGACATCTGAATTAGGGTTTTCCGGCATCCCCGTCACGAACTCCCAAGCTTCCTTTAGATTTCCGGCACGTCCCAAGAGATCAACCATGCAAGCATAGTGTTCCATCTTCGGTTTCATGGAGTGATCTCTCTGCATACTCTCGAATATCTCCCGACCTTTCTCGACTAATCCAGCGTGCGAACAAGCAGATAGAGCCCCGAGGAAGGTTACGTAATTGGGTTCTACACGAAATTCCTTCATCCTACTGAAAAGTTTGAGCGCTTCCTCGGGATCTCCGTTCTTTCCATACCCGTCGATCATCGACGTCCACGAAAACACATTTCTCTCATGCATTTCGTCGAAGACTCTTCTCGCATCTCGGATTCCTCCACATTTCCCGTACATGTCCAGGAGAGAGCTTCCGATCTTGACGTGTTTAATCGACTCTGTCTTCATGATCTGCGCATGAACTTGTTGACTGACTTCATAGGATGTCAGAAGAGAGCAAGCTCCGATCACACTTGCGAAAGTCGAGATATTTGGGCGGAAACCAGCTCGTTGCATACGTATATACACAATGACGGCTCGTTTAGCCGTTTCTACGGATTTGCTGAATCCTTCCACCATTGCATTGTAAACCACGATATCCTTCACTAGGGTTTGGTCGAAGATGTCCTCTGCATCTTCCACCAACCCTCGATTCATATAACCTGAGATCATTGATGTAGAACAGATGATGTTCTCGTCCTTCATTGAATCAAACACAGACCTTGCACACTCAAGCTGGTCTCTTTTCACATAAGCATCCACAAGCGAAGTACATAAGACATCGTCTAGTTCGACGTCACATTTTATGATCCGGGCATGGGTCAATCTGCATAAACTACGGGGCAAAATCGAAGTAGAGCAACCAGTAGATGCCTTCAGGACCATCGAAAGCGTGAACCCATCAAGCTTTTCGCCTGAAATCGCCATTCGACGAACCAGAAGAAGCAATTCCCCGATCAACCCATGTCTCAGGTACCCACCGATCAAGTAATTGTAAGCCGACAAAGTTGGTTTCGGCATTTCGTCGAACACTCGGCGCGCATACTTCAAGCAACCGCATTTCAAGTGAAGTATGAGCAGTTTAATGGATATGTTCAGATCAGGTCGGAACCCAGTTTTGATGAGACCGGCGTGAATCTTCTGCCCAGCCTTTGGAGCCGGAGACGTGATGTGCTCTTGAAGATCTTCCGCGATACATGCCGCCGGCGACGGAGCGGTAGAGCCTTGTTCCAGCGGAGATTCCCGGTAGTATTTCGCCGGAAAAATTCGCCGTCCGGTCGTTGTCGCCCTGACACTTCTCATGCTTATGAGAACGAGACTCTTTTCACCGATTTTTTGTAACAGTGGCAGGAGTGGCTTATTGGACCAACAGTTGAATAAATAAATCTAAAGGAATTGTAATCCGATCGAATTACATATAAAATTAAAGGAAATTAGTAATAAGATAAGATTTATAAATTTCACCACTTGATTTTATATAAAAATTTATAAAATTTACGTTTGATTTTATATAATTTTTTTGAAAGTTTGTGATTTTTTAGTAAAAATTATAAAACTCACGGATTTATATGAAATTGTTTTTGAAAGTGTGAATTTTTAGGTTATTATCCCTGTAATTAAATTATTATAAATTTTTTTAAAATCAAATAAATTAACCGAATAAAAAACAAAGGAAACACTCGGATTTTTTTTTAAAATAAATATTTTAATAATAATAACCGAACCAAATTCAGGCTATAATCTGTACCAAACCGAAATAACAATGGTACCGAATAAACGGCGACGTTTAATGCCAATGTTTTTCTTTTTTTTTTAAAAAGCAAGCAACAACGGACTTGCTCTGTGATCGAAGTTTCGAATCTAACAAGTAAAAATTCTATGGGCATTTTCACTCTCAGGACTTGCACAGAGAGAGAGGGAGAGAGCAAAAGCCATGGCGTGCAAGCTTGGAACCTCTTCGACTGCAAATTTTGTTCCTTCGTTCTCTTCTTCCACGTCTAAGCGATCCTTCTCCTCGGTTACGTTATGCCCAACTGGTAATTCCTCCTTCTGATTGAATGAACGGTGCTCAACTAGTTAAAAGGATCTGCTTTTGCGTTTTTGTTTTTCGCTCGTTGTTTGGGTGGATTTTGCTCTTCTTCTGGGAAAATGTAGAGAGATTCGAGATGGGTTTTTGCTGTTTGATGCTATTTTTCTGCTATTTCCCTCCCTCTTCTCGTCGTTTTCGAATTAGGGTTTATGTTTTTTCTTTCCGCTGTGGAGAACTGTTATTGAGGAACTTTCCTTTTGTATTTGAGTGATTTTCAAGATTAAGGACGAGTTGCAAAGCATGAGACGAACCAGAAAGCATTTAATCACCGGTCAAATTTGTTATTCAGTTCTTGGTGATTCAGTGGTCTATGATTCTTCTGTAGGAGACAAAACTTGCGGAAGATTCTATGGAGGAATTGCGATCAACTCGGGAATCAAAAGGATGGATCGATTTCGTGTTGCAGTTTCTAGTTTCGCCACCGAAGTGAAAAGGGTTGATCAAGTAATTTAGCCATTGTCTCTGCTTCGATGCTCTTTCGCCCATTCTTGAAAATACTTTCTTCCAAATCCCAGATTCTATATATCTTGCTTAACCTAATCTGTAGCTTATCAACTTGGTGAATTTCAGCAGCAAAAGCTACCAGCAATGGAGAGCCAGAGGCCGGTGTATCCATTCTCTGCCATTGTTGGGCAAGAGGAGATGAAACTATGCCTATTGTTAAACGTGATTGACCCGAAGATCGGAGGTGTCATGATCATGGGCGACAGAGGGACCGGAAAATCGACAACTGTAAGATCCCTCGTCGATCTCCTACCCGAGATCAAGGTCATTGCCGGTGATCCTTACAACTCAGATCCCGATGACCCGGAATCAATGGGTATGGAAGTCAGAGAAAAGCTCATGAGAGGTGAAAAGCTTCCAATGGCGATGACCAAGATCAATATGGTTGATTTGCCATTAGGTGCAACTGAAGATAGGGTGTGTGGAACGATTGATATCGAAAAAGCCATGACTGAGGGTGTCAAAGCATTTGAGCCAGGGCTTCTCGCCAAAGCAAACAGAGGGATACTCTACATTGATGAAGTGAATCTCTTGGAAGATCATTTGGTCGATGTGCTTTTAGATTCCGCTGCCTCGGGATGGAACACCGTCGAGAGGGAGGGTGTTTCGGTTTCTCATCCCGCGAAATTCATACTGATCGGTTCCGGAAATCCCGAAGAAGGCGAGCTGAGGCCTCAGCTTCTCGACCGGTTTGGAATGCATGCACAAGTGGGGACCGTGAAGGACGCCGAGCTCAGGGTAAAAGTCGTCGAAGAGAGATCGAGATTCGACGAGAACCCTAAAGAATTCCGGGCATCTTACGAAGTAGAGCAGGATAAGATGAAGCGGCAAATCACGTTGGCTCGGTATAATCTGCTGTCGGTTCGGACGGATCGAGATCTAAAGGTGAAGATCTCGAAGGTATGTGCCGAACTGAACGTCGACGGGCTGAGAGGAGATATAGTGACGAATAGAGCAGCGAAAGCTCTCGCGGCTCTGAAGGGACGAGACAGAGTGACTCCGGAGGATATCGCAACCGTCATACCGAACTGTCTGAGGCACCGGCTCCGGAAAGATCCCCTGGAATCCATCGATTCGGGCTTGCTCGTGATGGAGAAATTCTACAAAGTCTTCAGTTGATCGGCTCGTTGGCTCGGCTTTATGAGGGGGATTTCGATACGGAACATGATAACTACGGAAGGGCACGGGTCAGCTGTACGAGATTGTTGGGTTATACGAATCTAAACCTGAATGTGTTCGGTCTCACGAGATATTATCCGAATTTTTTACCCAGTTTTGGTCGGATATCCGCGAGTTTCCGGACACAATTTTTAAATACGAAATTTTGTTTTTTTTTTAAAAAAAATTTAAATGTTACATTGATTTAGGTCGAATATCCTAACAGTTATGCAATTATTGTTCGTACAATGGAATATACTAAATCTCTGCTGAAACTCGACTACGTATTACGTAACATCACTACGATACAAAAAATGATTACTTTATCAACCGATGGTTGGACGGATGAAACTCAAAATTAGTGAGCCCCGTGGTGATCCGGTTCGGGTTGAATCGAGCCGGTTCACGAGTGAACCATGTCTTGGTTTTAAAAATAAGTTAAGTTGCAAATACAACTAAACACCACATTTGTTTGTATTTTAGAGTTAAATTATAATCAAATTACAATGTCTGATGTTTAACTATTTGTATTAAACTCGGCTCGTTTATCTCTTGAACTAGCCTAACCCGATTGGAATTGGGTAATTTCAACTCGTTTACAAACGGTTGGACCAAACCGGACTTAAAATATATAAATTTAAGGAATCCAGCCGAACCGAACCGCCTCGTATTTTTGTCTTTGAAATTTTCTAATGACTACCTAGAAATTATATGTCAAAAATGGATAAAGACATTGTATTTTGATTTATTTCTAAAACCACCCCACGAATATGCCGAACAAGTCGATTACTCCCCCATATTTTAATTTTAACCAGCCAAACCTAGTTTTTTTTTTAAAAAAAAAAACAAAATTTAAATTAAACTTGAAACTGCATAAATCCATCGCTGTTTTAGCAAATATTATATTATACATGTAAAGGAATTTTGTAGAAAAGTAAAGGAATTTTATAATCGGTGCTTTTATTAAGCTTGTAAATAGAATTCTTACCATAGTAAGAGATTTAGTGTTTTTATCTTTTTGGAAAAATATTTTATTTAATTTATTATAACAATGGACAGTTATCGGATAGCTTTTATTTTGAGATATAATCAAGCAACTTGAATAATATACGACGTTTTTCGAAGTTGATCCAAATTTTTATGGGATTTGATTTTTTTAAACCAGATTAATCAGACCGAAATTATACAAATTAATCTAAAAATCAACTAAAAATAAATATTTTAAAAATATTTTTTTTCATAAAAATGTAATCAAAACGAATTTAAAATATGACATATTACTCTTTACAGTTATTTAAATCTACAAATTAAGACGAATCATTTCCAAGTTGCAAATCTGTGGAGGATACAAATAAATATTAAATCTACTAATTTTTTTATTCGTTTTTTTTTTCCTTTTTAAAGATTCATCGCTCTCTATATTCTCCTCCTTAATTAGTTAGAGATTAGAATGCCCAGTCGAAAGTATTAAATTAATGCTAAATCTTTTAGCATCACTGTGATATCCTTTTATTTTCATGTTTAAACAAATTTAGGTTAATTAATTGCTTCAAACGTTTCAAAGCAATCGTATTAAGAAAGTACAGGCTGGAAGATTTGATTCTCCTACTCACTTTTTTTCCCCATCAGATTAATTAATTAATTAGTTTTCCCTTTCACAGTTTTATTTTGCATTAATTCAAAATCCTCTCTGGTCGCTGCTTGTTTCCAAAAATCTTATGCTCCTTAAATTAGAAATATAATAAAACTACATGTGCAAATTTAGAAAATAAGTTTCTTATTTTTGTCAATATATATATATGTATTTGTATGGTATACTGTATATATATCCATACCATCATAGTCACGGATACTTTTAAGTAAAAAAATAAATAAATTGAATAAACTTTTAAACAAAATAACCGAAATGAATCATCTCTTTAGAACAATATTTTTTTTAATGGAATTCAAATAGAATTTGTATTAAATGTAAACTGAGTATAAAACTGAATATATATATATATATATATATATATATATATATATTAAAACAGAAAAATTCAAATACTAAAATAATTGAATTGAAATTGAGTTGTTATCATTTAAAAAAAATGAAAACCAACCCCAAAAAACGACGACATACAACAATACATGGAGGGAAAAAAAAAACAAATTTGATGAATTAGATGGCAAAGAGCATGATCAAATCTAGCAATAATATTTTCATATAAACTGATAGATTATAAGGACAGTAATTTATGGAAAGTAATAAATTTTTATCTATTTTTTTAAACGCTAAGTTTGGATGATTTATCTCCAAACCCTTTTTTTAAAATCTATTTTTTTCCCTTTTTTTGGCAAAAAAAATTTGTTTGGATCATCACCAAAACCATTATACGGCATCGACATGTATGTTGTATATTATTAAACCGAATCACGAAATCAATGTCATTACAACATATAAAATGGTAACATTGTGTGATTACCCTTTTTAAATATTTATTATATGAGAATGGAGATTCTGAAAATATTTAGCACGTGATTTAGGTTAGATAGTAGGGTACCTATAGATCATATAAAAGGTCAGAATATATAAATAATTTCGATAGAGATGACGTAGAGGGAATAATGCATAATTGTAAAGTTTTATAACAAAGAAAAATAAATAAATATAATGAAAAAGAGAAGGGCTTTAGTGTTTTTTTGATACAGATGACGCATGGACATGTATGGGACCATGTGCCATGGTAATCTTATATTTAATACAAATACAGAAAGTGGAGATATGACAGACATGTTGCATAGGTTGTTCCAAATCTTGCACAATAATTTTATTAAATTTATATTTAAAGCATCCAACAGAAAAATAAAAAAGAGTAAAGTACAAGAAAGATTCAAGTTGGTATGATTTGGTCCGATTCTATTTTTCTTTTTATTCCCAATTTTTTAATATTTTAAACCGAAAATTACACATTTATTAACGTTCGTCTCTTTTGGTTGACCTCTACGATTAAAAATCGTTATTCTCAAAAAATAATTACATAAAAATCTATAGTTATTATGTGATTGATTTTTAGTTCAGTTTTTAAATTTTAGAAAATATACAAGTATATTGAGGTTGAACTTTGATTGGGATTGATTTTTATTGATAAAATACTTAATTTTAAAACAATTTTATTTGGTTTTAGGAAATCATATTTAAATTATATTCGGTTCAAATGAAATTGTTCGATTTTTTAATTTTATAATAATTAGGATTATATATTATGTGGTTTAGTTCGGTTAAATTTTGGGCAGAGAGAGCGAAGTGAGCATTATCCATTTAACCATACCAGCCGTGGATAAGAGAGAGATTAATTAAATTAAATAAAGAAGCTGCTATAAGTTCATAGTTTTCTCCGTGGACCAAAAAAGGCATTTAAATAAATATTTTTACGAGAGAAAATCACGGAAACCGATGCAGATTCTCCATCTCCAGATGCTCATATGAACCCCCAGAGAGAGAGAGAGAGAGAGAGAGAGAGAGATCTTGAGGAGCTGAAAACATGGCTTGGAATTTCCATAAATTCCCAAGACTTTTCTCAGTTCGCAAGAACAGCCGATTTCATCTCAGATTTCCTCCTCCTTATATCTCTCCCCTTTGAATTGATTTTTATCCGTTTCTCCTTTTGCTCAAATCCCCCTCCTCCTCCTTTCTCTCGCTTTCTCGGTATAAATCCCCGCCCTCCGAGAAAATTTAACCAGAAACAGCCAGAGGAAATGTGCAGTAACACCAGCAGTGGAAGCTACGGAGGAGATCCCGATGATTATTCAGGCTCCTGTCTGAAAAAACACAAGAAGGAGCGTGTTCCTCGCCGCGGACCGGGAGTTGCGGAGCTCGAGAAGATCCTCCGACAGCAGGAACAGATCTGTACGGCCTCCGTCTCGGCTTCTCCTTCTTCTTCTTCCCCTCCTTCCCCTCCCCTCTTCTCATCTCCTTATCCCTTGAACGCCATCGATCACACCCTCCTCGTCCCTCCCATGGTTCCTCCGCCGCCGTTGATGAATGCCCTTTTCACCACTACTCCTCACCCTGGCTTCACTCCTACTCCGCCGCCGAACCCTGCTGACGTAATGCCGGAAAAGTCGCCGGCTTTTCGTCTGGGAAACGACGTCGCCGGCCATAGAACCGCGCCCGTGTTCCCGTTCTCTTCGCTGTTCTCGAACGGGTCGTTTCCTAAGGATTTGATTCCTCCTGCGCCCGTGTTTCAGAGGAAGCATCATTCTCTGCACCAGTTTCAGACGGTAAAGAGAGAGGGAAAAAAACAGAACATGATCATGAGATTCTAAAGTGAATCGTCTTTTTTTTTTGTTACAGTTTTTTTTTTTTTTGCAGATGAATCTGCCGAATCCACCTCCTCCTGGATTTTACCAGTTCATAGAGCCCCCTTCAAACCAAAGATCTTGCGTCGAGAATGCGCCTCAGTTTCTGGAGGAAGAAAAGGCAAAAGCCCTTTAACACGTTTCCTCACTTCCCATATCACATTTTTTTTTCTCTCAGTTCTCTGAATTTTCGATCTGTTCATGTTTCCAAAAAAAAAACAGATTGCTGAAGCGAAAAGGCCGTGGCTTTTTATCACAGACACATCCCCAAGTGCTCAAACGTACACGAAACCCTGCATTGGTCCGACCATAACCATCCCAAGGTTTTTGTCCTAAATCTAATAAGTTGCCAGATGATCTTGAGCAACATCAAATCTATATTTCTTGTTCTGATTTTGGTGGGTTCGGGTTTCTGATGAAAGCAGGGATGCTAAACAAAGCCGGTCGCTGGATCTGAGATTGAAAAGCTCGGTTCTTGATTATGGAACAACCAGCGGAAATCCCATCACAGTCGATTCCCCTTCTCCGGTAACACCTTCGACACCGATCAGAACCTGCCCACGAGATTTCTCTGGTTCTAGGTTCATCCCACTTGCCTTACAGGTAAAAGAGAAAAACCTAGTTCTTCCCGAGGGGGAGAGATTTTTCGGGTAAGGTTTTGATGGGGTATTTTCATTTACCAGAAAGCTTAATCATGTTTTCCTGTCTTGATTCAGTATGAACAGCAAGAAGACGTTGAGGAATACAAGCAAAGAAGAACGGGGAAACCCTTCTACAGCTTCTTGCCCTCGGATGAGCAAAGTAACCGTGAGAAAGATCGATGTTTCAGCTCGAGGAACGAGAAATACGAAGCGAACAACGATCACGGAATCGATCTAAGCCTTAAGTTATAGAGAGTTCTTCGCGTGTTTTTCACGAACGAGAGAAGCGGATTGTTAATAAGAAGTGTTTTGTAGTTTTGGATGTATAACTATGTTCCAGTTTAGCATCTTTCTTTCCGAGTTTTCGGTTTCGTTCGTTCTCGAATCAAACTGATCAATATCTGGTTAAGAAGAAGTATGATTTCTTAACCTAAGACTTGTTTGTTGTCTGTAACATGAGCTTTTGATGAAAAGAAAGCGACAAGAAAGGATGATTACTTGGGAAACAAGAAATCGACATGAGTGATTGCTTGGGACGCAAAAGGTATAAGCAAAACGTTGCTAGGCATATCAATGGGCAAATATAACCATCTGCTAAACAAAAATCGAAACCCTAAAAAGATCTCTCCATAAAATGAAACACATAAAAAGAGTTCAGACAGTTCTTTCTGCCAACAAAAAACAAAAACTCCTACCAACAAAAAAAGACAAACTAGTGTCCAGACATAAAACCCAGAGATCATCCTAAAAGAAGAAGAGAGATTTTAGTGAATTGATAGGATTATTACCAATAATACCCCCTTCCTCGTCCTCGTCCTTGTCCTCTTCCTCCTCGGCCACGTCTTCCCCAACCTCCTCGTCCTCCTCTACCGCCGTACGAGATTCCTTCGAATGCCTTGTTCACGAGCTGATTCTGCAATCCGCCTGAACCACGTCCTCTCTTCGCGTTATCGGCTCCATTGGCAGCACCAGCAGGCCGCTTTCCTCTGTCGGTAGCGGAAGGAGAATGGATATTAAACCAAACCGAAACCCTAAAACAAGGGTCAAAGGTTTCTCGGATGATATAAACAGTATGAACCCTACCCGGCTGTTGTAGGAGTTGATGGTTTAACGGCTTCCTTCCAAGAAAGGTTGATACTTTTGTCCCCGATGAAGGAAGGTGCTTTTGCATGTAATGGCTGTATCAGACAAAAAATACAGTTCAAATTTTGTTACATGTTTTACTGATGGATCATATATTACTATAGGAAAAAAAACAAGGAAAGGGAAAGATATCAATGGGCCGACCTTTGTCATTGCCAATATGTTATTGCAGGTCCTAAGTCCAGTGGTAGTATTCTGCTTCTTCGTCTTCTGAAAAAATATTGCAAGATTCCATATAAAGTTTTTAAAAGCACAGAGCACATAAAAAAAATTGTAGATCAATATATCTACTCACAAAGCTCTCTTTCTCTTCATCGGTCTTTGCAGCTGACATTGCTTTATTGTGCTCAGACATTCCCTGAGTTAATTTCCTCATTGTCGCCTTGGTTAGCTCTTCAACGTTGGTCAATCTACACCATCGTATCAAAAATTAAAAAACCGTAAACTATGGATCATAAAAAAAAAAAGCATCCATGCCTCCAAACAGAAACAAACGAAACAGGAGGAAGCATTAAATTTCCCTAGAATGCTCAACCCGTGCGTGCTCCAAGTGACGTCGTTCCGATGCGGCGGGTGGGTCCTCGGGGCGGCGATTCACCACGCGCTCTGCGACGGGTTAGGGGCGAGTCTGTTCTTCAACGCCATGGCGGAGATAGCTCCCGGGGCAGGTCGGATCTCAGTCGACCCGGTCTGGGACCGGGAGCGTTTGCTCGGCCCGAGGGACACGCCTTATGTCGGAGCTCCGGTCCGAGACTTCTTGAGCTTGGACAAAGGGTTTGATCCGTACGGACAAGCCATCGGACCGGTCGTGAGGGAATGCTTTGTGGTGAACAACAAGTCACTTCCCTACATATTTCTCGATAATTGAAGTTTGAGATGCTAGTTCTTTTCTGCTCGTTATGACTGAAGTTATTACTTCACTATTCTCGTCCTTTCCTCAGATTAAACTGGACAAAGTTTCTTCTTTATTTTTATTTTTTACACAGAAGCAGGAAAGGATGAAAGTTCAAACTTCAACACTGAAAAGGTTTGAATCCAAATTGTTAAAAATTACCTCTCAGTGAAGTCCTTGTAAAACTCTGAGAAGTCCTCTCCAAGTCTATCTGACGGTTGGCCAGTCACTATCTTGTATCCACACAAGCTGTTTGTGGCATTTGGAGCCTATATGTTCAACAGAAATCAAATGAGTAAACGGAGGAAGAAAACAGTAACTGTACAAATCAGTAAAGTAGCTCACAACCTTGTGGGCTAAGTGATGAAATGCATATAACAAGCACTCCACATAAGTGAAGTTCATTTCTTCCCCAGTCCTCCTGGCAGGCATGTATTTCTGAAAAGAAAGAGAGTGATTAACAAGAAAAAAAACATAGTGTTTACATGCTCCAATATGAAGGTAAATTATCATCATAAAATAAGAGATACACATCGGAACAGGCAAGTGAAATTTCAACATGCCATGACATAAGATTCACGAGCAAAATTTGAAGTCAGAACAATTTCTTAGTCGGTACCTTCAAGAGCTGAACTATTGAAGGAAGAATCTGCCGTGCCTCTTGAGCTGTTGTGTAAGGTGAAATATCAGCAAGAGCTTTGAGCAAATCAAGCTTCCTCTCTTCTGGGAGCTAATAAAAATGATTTTGGTAAGTCTTACGCAGGTCGACAAACATCTTTCACATCGAGTGATAAAGCAGATTCTACAGACCAAAAGGAATAGAGAACCTAGTGGCAACATATATGTGCAATAGAAAAAATAGAACTCATTTAGCATACGAGAAAATAATAACATTCCACTTCCTGTCAGAACTTACATAACAATTTAACAAATGAGAACAAACTAACATTTTACTCCCTGTTCTTAGTCTCATATATCATTCTTTATGCACTTAGTTAGAGCAAAGGAAAATCAAATGACTTAAAGTTAGAGGGCAATAACAAAAGAAAGATGTGGTAATACTCATGCAATTGTGAATATTTGTAATAGCAAAAATAATCTGATAAATTTAGATAAATACATAAGGGAATGACATTGTACCTTGTCGAAAACAGTCATAATGTGCTTGTTCAAGTAGTTAAGGAACTTGCTCCCTGGAGCACCTCTCTGCTCAAAATAATTAAAGTTACCAAGATCGAAAACAAAATTGAGAAGTATATAGCTTGAATTCCAATATCCAAGTACTAAGCAGCACCCACTCTAAGTTCATACCGCAAAGAACGGAAGAGCCATGTGCAGACATGATATCAATCTGGCAATATGGTCTGTATCTTCAACCTGGAAAAAAAATTGCAAATTAGAAGTAATAACACTGAAGATTAGGAAACATTCGGTTCAATGATCAGCCGATGCAACTCTGCACTGACTACCATAATGCTCACTATAATAGAGTAAAAAAATTAAGAAAAACTGTTAACTGGCATATCAACGTGCATACAGTCAATTGTTTAAAACTAAATTCTCCTGCATCACATTTGCATATGATGATCTTAGGCACCTTGTGTTATGTCCAGAGAGTGTGAATGTTATGCAAGGGAAAGTACCATACAACTGCAACTGAGCATATCAAATGAATATGTTCCATTCCTAGATGATGACAGCTGAATGATGCTGGCAAAACATCTTTAGACAGCTGGGAGGAATAACTTTAACCATTCTTGCACACAATCAAGACTAATTAAATTATTGTTTTAAGAGACTGTGAAGCAACATACTCACATTAAATTGTGCATCCAAATCAGCTTGCCCTTCAATAATTTCTACAAGTTCTTGCATTCTTTCTGTAGGAGCTTTCACGCCAAATATACTCAAACTTGTCAAGAAATCCATAAACATCTTAAATTCTTCTCCAGTAACGTCTGCTAGGCTCTGGGAAAAACAAAGAAAGTCAGAAAACGGAGGTACGAGAACCAAACGAGAATTTCACTTGGCGAAGAAAATTGTCCACCTTCTTAATTAAATCCGTAATATGCCTTTCCATTTCCTCTTGAGGCTTTAATAGTTCCCCATTAAGAGGGAATACCTGAAAGTAAATCAATTAAAGATAAAACGAAGTTAAAGAAAAAAGACATTCAAGCCTTTCCCAAAGGATGGTCACATTTTAAGACTCTTAAAACCTATCATAGTTACAACATCTTAACTTATACGTGTGTTCTGTTATCATCAGAATCTAACTTGTTATTCTTTAAGAATGATTTCTGAATCATAAATGGAATGATCAATATAATATCAACAGCTTCTAAAACGTATAACAATACTTGACTATGACACCTTTCTATGATAAGGATCTTGAAGTAAAACATGGCAAAACCCATCAAAAAACTATTGCGAGAAAGAGCTGCCTGCTGCATGATTCAGACGGTTTCATAACACAGTATAACAATAAACAGAATACAGATCAGATGAAAGTGCTATCAATTTTACTTGCAAGTTGCAAACGAAATCAGTAGCAAAAATAGAGCATTCCTGTACACCCCTACCCATCAGCATCAAAACCCAGTCCAGCACAGGCAGAATACTGAATACCATATCATATTCCCTATATTGTTTGTAGCAACTGAACCAAATAGCATACACGACAAATTTACTCCACTACTATGTAATTTACTCCACTACTATGTATTCGAGTAAAAGTTTCTAAAAGGCCAAAGACAGTAAGATAAAACAGAAGGTTTCAAATTTTAATACAAGATGTTGAGCAGGATGATATAAGAACCCTAACAAAATGCTGAAGAAAGACTTATAGGAGACTCTAACCTTATCTCTAATGAAGTTTAGAACCTTTTCACGAATTGCATCTTCAGTAGCTGGCTCATCAGCAGTCCCAACCCATTTAAACAATGCACTCAAAGATGCTGCAACAACAAAAAGGAGAAACATAACGAAAGAGACAAAGCCACTGCAGAGTCACATATACAACTATGAGTATGCGAAGAGAAGATCTTCTAAGCCTAAGAGATTCAAGCGAAAACAGTCCTCCAAACTTAATTATTTGCCCAAACCTATACTCTTATAAGGTCTACTGAATAACCCTCAGGAGTAACACATTAGCCTTTTCATCCTGCTGGTAAGACTGAAAAAAGTCATACTTTTCTCCCTCAAAAACAACTTCATAAGAATCAGATTCAGACACATCAAATTAAAAGTAAAAGAATTAAGACTACCTTTGGCATCCTGCCTCAACAATGACATAAGAGCCTTATGCACAGCATCGCGCTCCACAGTGTCCTCTAAGTGGATCCCAGTAAGGTCTAAGTCAGATCAACAGGAAGCTAATAGATAGATAGAGATTTAACAACCAAAATTATCATAGTTACCACAAGTCAGGAAAATTTGCACAAGAACATCAACAATCTTAGATATAAATTCTGGCGTATCCTTGCAGAAAAGCGGAAGCCCACGAATGGCTTGGACCCGTACCTACAAGCAAGAAGAAAGAGATACTTAAAGCAGGGGAGCATAAGCAAAGAACACAACCACACAGAATCGGTATAGCATTAGTTTGGTATATATTGTCCAAAAACAGGAAGAGAACTGGTCCTGAGCCCAAACTAAGCATGATGAACAAGAAAGAGACTAAACTTATACTTTTTTTGTGCAAAATGAAGCTAACTTTAAGCATTTGCAAACAAATCCAAGTTCATCAACTACGATTCTTCAGATAAGATATCATACACATCTTCTGAATAAAATTGCATACAGAAGAAGATTAACTAAGTACAGACCCCAAGATCCTCTTCCTCGAGGTAATCCACATGTGCATCGAAAGCCTTGGTGGAAAGACTGGGGAAGAACTTGAAATAACGTGGAATTAGCTGTGCCCCAAGCTGCTTGGCCTTGATGCTCGTCTTCGACAACTCGATAATCCCCTCATAGTCCGTAACATTCTGCGTACGGAAAAAAAGCGAATCAGCGAAATCAATATTATTCAAAAAGTGACAAATCGAAGAAAAAGAACAAAAATACGAAGCAGAAAAACCATATTCAAACCAGAAATGGTGAGGGAAAACACGAAAAATTGCTCGATTTCAACAAAAACCCTAGAGGGGAAATGAAGGTGAGAACCTGAGACTTGTCCTTAGACTCGTTCAGGCGCTCTCCGAACTCGTAGAGCTTCTCGATTTGGTTGGATTCGTCGTAGTTGCGGTCTGACATCACGGAGGAATCGAGAAGAAGCTGAGAGCGGGAAAATCGAAGAAGATGAGTGTTACAGACAGAGTTTCTCGAAGAATACAGAACATATACGTATGTATGCAGTTCAGTGCAGATAAAGCGAAAAGGGTGTCGGAGAGAGAGGAGGAAGGAGAAGCAGAGAGACCATACATGGCGGATTTTTGGAAGTGTCTGGAAGAAGAGTTTCTCAGAGAGTTGCCGAAGGGTTTCTGTGTTGTCTTCCTTTTACCCCTTTATTTTTCCCATTTCCCCTTTTTATTAGCAAGAAGAGATTTTAGAGGTTGATCTAATAAAACGATGTCGTTGTATTTTGAGATTTAAAAAAAGAACTTACAAATGACCCCCTTACTTATTGTTTCTATCAAAATCATCCCAAAGTTTATTTTCTGCCAATTAAATCCATCATAGTTAGGAGTGACACTTAAGGTTGGATAGTAATGTCAATTTGGGTTGGGTTTGATGGGTTAACCCAACCCAACCCATTTATTATCATTTTTGGGTTATGTTTTTGGGTTGAAATTATTTAATGGGTTAAATGGGTCTAAACCCATTAAACCCATGGTTTAATGGGTTAACCCAATTGACCCAAATAAAAAACTATTTACAAACCTTTTTTCTTTCTTTTTAAGACCTTTATTTTAACTTTCACGCATTCTACACTCCTAATTTAACAAATTATTTATTAACAAAAACCTTTCTATTTAATTATTTTTATATTTCTGAATATTCATACTTATATTTCCGTTTTCGATTATTGAACTATTTTCGATTTAATTTTTATTTTATAAAAACTACAGTTATTTGATTATTACATAAATTTTGATTCCAATCAAATTTTAAATATATAAAATTAAAATTCTAAATTTTGGTGCCACGTGTCTAATGACTAACTTGAAAAGTTTAGGTCGTGCGAGAATCTTGATCGTAAAGCTTCGAATTAAAATGACACCAATATATATATATATATATATAAACTGTTGATGATGGACCGACCAATCATTATTTGGTCTCTTATCACACTTGAATCATATAATTGATGGGTTTGCTATAATATTATTTAATTTTTGTAAAATCTATACATTATTTGTTTTGCTTTAGAGTAAAACTTTTTCGTAATCAATTATTTTACGTTATGTTCTGACAATTTTTCCATACACGATACATATGTATGTATGTATATATATACGTTTTGTGAATATATTCTTTCTAATGTTTTATTATTTATTTTAATTAAAAAAAGTTTTGTTACAAACTTGAAACATAATTTGGTCGGACAATGAAACATAATTTGGTCTGACAATATATTTCAGTGTATTTGTCTATTTAACTCTTCGTAAAACACTTTTTTTTATTTGATCAAGTACCATTAAAATAGTTTTTTAATTAATTAAGTTAACTAAATGGGTTAATTGGGGCCCTATGGGTTTTGTGGGTTAAACCCAACCCAGTAAACTATTATTGTTGGGTTGATTAAACCCAATCCGCTAATTTATACAACCCATTTGGGTTGGTTTTAAATGGGTTGGGCAGCCCAAATTGACATCACTAAGGTTGGACAAAAATATCCGAAAATCGAATACCACGGATATCAGCCCCCATATATCCGATTTTAAGATACTTGCGTCCATTCGAATTCAAATCTAAATTTGAAACTAAGAATATACGCAAACACGAATCTAAATCTGAATAATAAAAGTTTTAAAAATAGATATCTGTAAATACCAACTAATTTTGTTATAAATAATTATATACTAAGATCTATATAATATTTTTATAAAATATAATTGCTTTGGATTAAATAGCTGTGGAGAATTGAAAAGAGAGGTCAATCATTGATTGATATTATAACATATATAACAGTGATAATTTTGAGATTCTAATAAAATCAATGGTATTTTTATAATATTTAACAAATTCATTAATATTTGTGTAATTTGGTTGAATAACCTAGGTTAAAAAATAGCATACTCCTATTCAAATCCACGGGATGGATACCTCGGACAATCTCGAGGATATCCGTATCCAAACCCGATCTCCAATTCGTAACTCTCGCAATGAGAATTACTCATTATCCATCGCAATGCCTTTGCCACACAAAAAATTAAAAAAAAAAAAACCGACAAAAAGTTTCTAAGAGCAATTTTCCTTTTTCACATAACCGGCATGTCCAAAGCTTGTAACACATCCTTGAACTCGAACTCACGAGTTTGCTTATTGAACCGCCGATCTTGAGGAGGAAATATACATGTTACCGCCCCCCGGTCTACGTGATCGACTCGGTAAAGATAAAGTTTATCGATTGCATAAGGCGCTTTACGGTCTCAAACAGTCCTCAGGTAAAACGACGTAGTTGTCTCCACGAGCCGCCTCGCCTCCTCGTCCGTGAGCTTGCTCGTGAACACAACGTCCCCTCGGACAAGAACCAAGTCCTTGGTTTCGGCAAACTCGGTATAGAAAGTGGTGGTTAGGTATGGCGCAGATCGCGTTCCTCTCGCCTTGTAATCTTCGAGGCCCGTGAATAGCATGTGAGGGGCTTGAACTGTTCAAAACAAATAATAGACCATATATACGATCAAGCCGAGACATTTTGTTGTAACGTGATCGTGTACCACCACGGCGTATGTGATTTCTGGCGATTACAGGAGATTGAAAAACCGATTGGTTTAATCGCAATCGCTACAGAACATGAGAAATCTAATCGTAGCTCTCTATTTACGTTTTGATAGCGATTTGTGACATTTTGCTAAAAAAAACAAAACACTCTAGCTTTTAAATTTGTTTTTATAACAACATCATGCACTTTTGGTAATTTACACTAAATCGCAATTACAACAGTTCCATTTACTTTTGAATCGCTATCCATCACTTATCAACCAACCAACATCAATCAGCCAACAAACACACTGAAAACACTCATAACCTCTACCACAAACACAACGAAACACCCAGTCGAACCCTTAGCCGAATTATACGAGTTTCAATCTAAAAGGGTTTCAAGGTATTCCTTCCAAATCATTGGAAGAATCCACATTTTTTCAACAAAACACAGAAATGATTCACATTTTTTAAACAAACTCAACTCACCCTTTTGACAAGAAAGACAACATAACCAAGTCCATGAATCCAAATCTATCGCGAATGGTTCCAACATGAAATACTATAACCCGAGCAAATAAAACACTATTCTTCATTCATCCCCTATCTTTTCCTTTCGATAAGAAGCCGTTCCAATGGAGAGTATAATGAATCACCATAAGTAATCTCTACTCTAATCACTGTCCCGACAAACTAAAACCGCATTGATCTATAGCTTAAGCTCCCTAACAGATCCACCCTAAGACCTAATATCACAGATTCACAAGATCACCTCCATTCTCATTGGCCTTCCATGAAGAAAATGGTATCATAAAGGCATGAACACTTAGACCAAGGAACTGGGAATACTCTAAAATGCAAATACATAACAGACGATTAGAGATGGAGATGGAACCTTGAACAAACATGGTTGTGTAATCTTGTCCTCTCCACAAAGGGATGACAAAATACTGACTGCAATTGCAATGTCAATAAGAACAAGATCAAATCAATTCAATCGGATCGATCCATGAAAAGATATATATTTTTCAAGAAAAACGATTGGAAAAGGAAATTACCACTCTGATGCTCGTTGCTCCAATAGCCGATAAAGCTGAGCTTTCATGGACAACCCGATATCACCTCGTCCCAAGTGATGCTGGTGATACAACCATAATGTCATGAAACTCAAGGAAAAGAATTTCGATTGTTTTTTCACCAATGGGGCAGAAGGGTTGTTATATTACATCGTCCCAGATCGAAGCGAGTTCGTCCGGCGATTTCATCTTGGCTCCCTCCAAATCCATGATGGAATCCAACGGCTTCGGCTGCAATGGCGTAAACCCAGTTGCGAAACTCGAATTCCTAACGGAACCAAGCGATGCCCACTTCACCAGATTTCCGGGTATCGCTTTTGAAAACGAATCTCCGCCATTTCGTTGCGAAGAAGATGACCGCAGAGGGGAAATCTGTCTCGACGGACAACTGGAGATGCAAGAAGAATACGAACATGAGAGATTTCTAGTGGATAGGATCGATGCAGCAGTGACAATTCTCCTCGTTTTCATTGTAGGAATAAGTTGAAATTCAAGGAGATGCCATTAACTTCAGCTAGATAATGAGACAATATAGGAGAAGGCTCAAAGAGGAATTTCATCGAACAGGCCCCCTGCAAAATGACCTTCAACGATTCCGTCGATTTCGTTGCGGTGAAGGCGAAGGGGCAAAATTGTCTTTTCCACTGGCGTTTCGTTATCCATTAAGAACATATCTAAAATAATTTCAGGTAGGCCCATTGGGCCCACTTTTTTATCCTGGCCCATGTAACTCCGAAGTTTTTTTTTCTATTTTATTTTAATTTTTGTTTTTTATGATAGCTTATTTTTAAGTTGTGTTATAATTTTATATTAGGATTTTTGAGTTCTTAATTCCTACGAAAAAAATCCTGAGATACAAGAAAAGATCGTTACATTATAGGATGTTAAACAGCTGCAAAATTGAATATAATATTATTTGGTTTTTCTTTTATTGTGATAAAATATTTAAAAAGAAACAGTGAACAGATAAATGGTCCACTATTTGTTCATTTTAATCGCTGAAAAGCTTCAAAAAGACTTTGGGTCGCACATGCCAGAGATTATTCCCTTAATGTTCAAATTTGAAAAGAATATAGTATGATCAAAACCATTAATCAACCACATTATTATATTTATCACTAAATTTATATATTTTATGATTAACAAATTACACTCATGAGTCATGATCAATAACAAAATCATAGTGAGAGTGACAAATATTTTATCATACTATATTATTGTTGTTTAATGTGATAGAATGGTAATATGCTAGTTTAAACAAAAACTGTTTATATATATATATATATATGTATATGTATGTATGTGTGTATTTGAAGCCTTGTTCACGGGCCATGATTGCTCCCACATGTTAGAGAGAGTGACAAATATTTCTATGAACCATACACATCAAAGTCGGTAAACATTTCCAAAATTCAATGTGGAAAAATAATTTCTTGTTGGTGTAAAAGTAGAAAGGTCAAAATGTAATAATATTACAGTAATACATACACACATATATATGTGTATATATATATAAACTATTTTACTGCCATGTCCAAAGTGCCTCACCACTCAAAAAACAACAGCAAGAGAGGAACAACACCATGCATGTCCTGTCTCTTTCTGACCGTTGTATTCTCCTCTTGCTGTTCTCTGCATCGAACATTCCAACTTTTCCGGCGAAACCCTCGGCCTCTCCTCCGCCGCCGCCGCCGGTGGGCCGCCGCCGCCGGCTCGCGGTGGATTACTACGCGGAAACTTGTCCTCAACTGGAGATGCTTGTCGGCTCCGTCACTTCTCAGCAGTTCAAAGAAACTCCAGTCTCAGCTCCCGCCACAATTCGACTCTTCTTCCATGACTGCTTCGTCGAGGTAAATGACACGACTCCTGCGCACAATAGCACAATTCCCCCTAGTTTCTCACTCTATTAGGAGCGCATTTTAGCATCCGTTTACAAGCATGCTCAGCTCACTGCATCATCTTTCCTATCTGGTGTAAGTACACGCACCATCAGATGTGACAGAATCTGCAACCTTCATCGTCGTCATCATCATGATGGCAAAATCGTAAATAGTATGAAACCCAGAATCCGATGACCAGTTTGATAGATTCTGAACAATACGCATTCGTTTCTTAACCATTACTGGTTTGGCTTTCACATGTACGTAGGGTTGTGACGGATCGGTATTGGTGGAAACTGAGAAGGAGAACAAAACGACGCCGTTGGAGAGAGAAGCGGAGGAGAACACAGATCTAAGCCAAGAAGGGTTCGATACCATTAAGAAAGCTAAGTCCTTGGTGGAGAATCATTGTCCTTCTCTCGTCTCTTGTGCTGACATTCTCGCCATTGCTGCTCGAGATTTCATCCACTTGGTTATAACACAAAACCCTTCTTCTTTTTCTTCTTCTCCTCCTCCTCCTCTTAACTTAACTTAACTTGGGTGCTTCTTCTTCTTCTTCTTTGCGATGGATATTTTCAGGCAGGTGGACCGTATTACCAAGTCAAGAAAGGAAGACTGGACGGAAAATTATCAAAGGCAGTGAACGTTCCCCGGAACATTCCTCGTTCGAACTCGACTGTCGATCAGCTCATCGATCTCTTCTCGTCAAAAGGATTAACGGTGAAAGACCTCGTCGTCCTCTCGGGTGCACACACCATAGGATACGCCCACTGTAGGCAATTCCTTACCCGTCTCTACAACTTCAAAGGATCCAGAAAACCCGACCCGAACATCGACTTCAAGCTCCTCAAGGAGCTGAGAATGTCATGTCCCGAGTTCGGGGGAGGGTCTAACGTCGTACTGCCGCTCGATGTAACGACGCCGTTCTCGTTCGATAATGGGTACTTCATCGATCTGGAGAAGAATATGGGGTTGTTGGGATCTGATCAAGCTCTGTTTCTTGATCCGAGAACGAAGCCTGTGGTCATGGAGATGGCGAGAGATAAGCAGAAGTTCTTCGAGGCGTTTTCTAATGCTATGGATAAGATGGGTTCGATTGGTGTTAACAGTGGGAGACATGGAGAGATTCGAAGAGATTGTAGTGTACTTTCGTGAGAAAATTGTATGAAGAAAATGTTCTTGAATCGACCCTGTTCATATGATTTTCGATTCATTGTTTGAATTTCTATCACCAAATCTCTAATTTACTCCATGCACGAAAATTGCGCTGCCATGGCTACAAGAGCCTTCTTACAAATCGGGAAACCAAGTCTGTGGATGATGGAAACTATTTCCAAAGGGAAAAAACTTCATACCCTAAAGAGTCGAAGAACTAAAGAACAAACAAAAAGCCTTCTCCTTTAAATCGATTTCTCTAAAGCGGTAACCATTCACAATACAACACGAATTTGTGCAAAAAAGGGTTATTTCTCAATAATTGTTTGCATTACAAAAAGAATACTAAATAACCTTGCAAATTCTTACCTGCAGATTGATAAATTCGAAATCTTTGAAATTTAAGAAGAAGACCCACCCGGAACCCTAGCGAGAAACGGAGAGGAAGAGGAAGAAGAAAGGGTCACGTGGCTATATTTGAAGCTCTCTCTCTCATTTTTTTTTTTGCCATTTGCTTATTTATTTATCTTAAACCCTTTTTTTTCCTCTTTGCCATTTTCGCCCTCATTCGATGTCTCTCTGCCTGATCTCTAGTCCGCGTCTTCTCTGCATCGATCCTCTTCGGAAACTTCCATCGCATTCCAAAATCTCACCTCGTCGGATCCAACGCGCGATCGGAGCCACCGCGATAGCTTCCATGGCGACGGCGGAGACGACGACGGTGATAGCCATCTCCGACGGCGTTCCCAACCCTGCGATAAAACTCTTGTTCGTCGAGATGGGTGTGGGTTACGACCAACATGGGTACAGTGAATCTGAATCTTTTGCTTTTTTTCGTTCAAATTTCGTGAAATTTGAATCAATGCCCGTTTTAAATGGAATCGTGAAATTTGGAAATTCGAGTTAGGCAAGATGTTACGGCGGCGGCGATGAGGGCTTGCAAGGATGCTATTTCTTCGAATTCGATTCCTGCATTTAGGAGAGGTAAAAAGCCACTGATGGATTTCTTGCTTCGAATTCTAATTTGTTCATGTTTCAAATTATCCATGTTTAAGCTTAAAATTTGCAGAGAAGAGTACAAAAAGGTTCTGGATCCTATCTACTTTCATATGATTTCGTTGACAACGAACTGTATTGCCATTGTTTCCATATCTGAAATGACGCTCTTGGATCGAATTGAAGAAATCGATCATCATCATTTGCTGTGTTTGAGATTGGAGATGGGCCTTTGGAAAAGCAATGTTTCCCCCTCTGAATATGTTGCAGGTTCCATTCCCGGCGTTTCATTTGAACAGATGAAGTTGCAAATCAAGCTCGGAGTTCCTCGTCCTCTTCAGCAGCAGCTGGATATCGAAAAGGTCAAATCGATCTTCCCGTAGTAAGTGTCTTTAATCTTGAATTGAATGAGAACCATCCTCAGTCAAGAATCACCATTGATGAGCAAAAGGAGATCATTTTCACAGTTTAATAGCATGACTTTATATGCCATTTCGGGTGTGGAATCATGCAGTTATATTTCAAGTATTTGTTCGATATGATGAGACGTTATACACCATTCTTGGATGGGTTTATTTTTTCTTCCGGGCGAATACTGTAGCGGGGAGATTCTCAACGTTGAGGTGGTGGATGGAGGACTAATCTGCTCGAGCGGCGTACAAGTCGAAGAAATGGGCGATAAGAACGAAGACTGTTACATAGTGAATGCTGCTGTCTATGTTGGTTACTAGCCTCTTCTTTCCCGAGGTAAATTTTACGATCTTTCGCCTGATCGGGTGTAAGATTTCATGTGTTCAAGGACCCTGGATCTGGATTTGACCACAAGGCTCCTAACCATTGCTTCTGGTTTGATCCAATCCATGTCACACAAATCTAATGGCAAAACCATGAACATTTTTGTAATAAACTCAGAAACATGCCATTGTTATTGCGCATCATATGACTCAAGATCAATCATGTTATTTGTTTCCCCAATGAAAAATAATTAAATTAAGCACTTTTCACTTTCATCTTTTGTTTATGTAACCTTCTTCCCCAAAGAGTTATCAGATTCTTACCACATCCAAGAATGTAATGTACAGATAGAGAAAGATTGTTCTCTTTCACATGGAAAGAGCTGCATAGAGAAGGCGGTTCCAAGTATCAGGCAATCCAGGGAGGCACCAATGGCTGCAATCTGTGCCTCCATCGCCGCCATAAGTGGAAGGATGAGCATCCTTTCTCAACTGGGATAGAGTCGTAATATCGAGCAAGTAGACGGGCGTTTTCATTGTTCTCAACACTTTGTCCACCACGGCTGTAGCCGGCGGTGCACCTCCCGGGTAGGTTGATCCACTCAACGGCACCATCTGTCCACTGCAACTCTTCTTTGGCTCGTTCCATTCCCTACCCCTGTTCACGGTGAGAAAAATAACTTTAAACACCTTTAGTTAGGGATGGACACGGGCGGATACCCGAGATTTGCAGTGTATTTAGTCTCGGTCTCGCCCTACTCGGGTATCTCGTTCTCATCTTCCAAAGGGTTAGATACCCAAGGATCAAATATTTGGGTGCCCGCGGACTAGAGTTTGGGTAGTCAAGGATCAGGCGAGAAGTGTAACTGGTCCTAGAATCATTCGGCATGGCACGATGAGCGACGAGCGACGAGGGGAGCGGAGAGCGAAACGGAGGCACGTCATGGTAAGGGCGAAATCGCCTCTCAGAAAGGATCTTCGGACTCCTCTCTCAAAACAATAGAACTTATGTTTGAACACTTTTTTTTAAAAAAAAAAAATCAATTTTGTCTAGAATTAGGGTTAATCGTAATCCATGTATCGCCGCTTGCCCTTTCTTCGTAGGCTCGTTCTCCCTCCGCCTCATCGTATCTCGTCGCGGGCTGACCCTCTCTCTCTCCCTTACATCGTGTTACCCGTGTTTTCGGGTCCATACTGGCGAGAGACTTTCGGCCTCATTGTCGGGCTTCTTGAATTTCGGATACCCATAGGACGAGTCCCACGGATCCATGGGATTTGGAATATCCAAATCCAACCCCAACCTTCAACGGGGTATTGCAAATTCAAAAGCGGAAAAGAAAAGGGGAAAGCGCTCACTCGTAGTGTGTGGGAGAAATGCCTTGGAAGAAGACCCTCGTCTTGGAGGCATCGACGTTGAGGTCAACCCATTTAGCCCAAGTGCTCAACCCTTTGTAAAACGCCACCAGCCGGTCCATATCCCTCATCAAACCGGACCCATCTCTCATATAATCCCACCTAACCGATCACAAACCGAAATTTAGGGTTCATTACAATCTCGGTCTAATATAAAATAGCAACACACACACACAAAAGAAGAAGTGTACCCTTGGGAAGAAGATCCTTTGTGAGTCCACCAATGCCAAGAGTTGAAGATGAGAACCTCCATTCCTTTCCAAAGGTTGGCTCCTCCTTCTATGGCGTTTAGGTTGAGCACTCTTCCTACCTTCTCTCTCGATATGTCCACTAGGTACGGTGTTCGGTATAGATACAATGTCACCCCGTATCCCTATTCGAATAATAGATAGTGATATCAGAAATAAACCTAATTTAAAAACCAAGTAAATATAACTTGTTTAGAAAATAATTAAATTTATATGATAAAAACCTTAAGATAATCTAAAATCCGAATGAACATTAATGATTTTTTAAATAGTACAACATGTCATATCACTAATAACGCCATAATAGCCAAAATAGCTAGCATTATCACATTCTTCATCATTTTCAAAACATCATTTTAGTGGCGATATATGGTGTTCTTTCATATGGTTTGGAATACGTCCATGACTCTATTCCATTAATCTATATTTGATAAAACGTATACCTATGAATATTTTTTAGTTTTGTTTGTATTGAAAATACGTATAAAATGATTTAATCAAATTAAGTAAATAATAATTATTAAAAAAAAAAGGTGAAAGAAGAGAAATTCATTTAAAACACATATTACCTCAAAGGTGATGGAAGAGAGCGGGGTACGCTTCACGAAAGTGAACTTGACGTTTGGTGCCGACGCATGTATCATACATCCCAACGATTCCCACATGTTTAGACTCAATGAGTCACCCACGAACATGACTCGTTTCCCTCTCCATCTCCTCAAGAATTCAATCCCATTGAACCTAGACAACAAAACGACAATTTATCCATCGGAGATCAGTCAAGCCGACACGTGTGAATGAATGATATATACACACACACGCACGCTATTCCCACGTGTTTAGACTCGAGGTTTAACAGCTCAAAAACTATATTTACATCACTATACGTATGAATGAATATTTTTTTAAAAGAAAAATAAACTATTCTATTCTTAATTAAAAAGGGTTTCAAATGGAGTTGTAGGGTAACTAGAGTTGAATTGATATACATGCAAAATTAAAAAAAAATATCAAACCGATGTATATTGGTCGTATGTTTGAAGATTCAAACAAATTTTAAATAAGTGAATAGCTGATGATAATGATGATACCTCTTTAATGATGCGATTCCTACTTTATGGTAACAAGGCATTATAAACATATCGGTTTTGTTATATATATATACAGCCACACACACACACACACACATATATATATATATATATATGTGTACATATAGATAGAGAGAGAGAGAGAGACCACCTACTCTTATTAGTTTGACTATATAAGATATATCAATTATTCTTCTGACCAAACTTTTCCAATTGCCTCACCTCAAGCCGTAAGAATTAATAATTTACATGAAAACTGAAGATCATGTGATTAATAAATTCATTTTAACACTCCTGTTTAGGAAATATCTACATACATGTATATATACACATATGTGGAAGATTATATAAGCATATACGTATATATGTATATATGTACCTGGGAACAGCGCATGAATCTGGTTGCCAAGAATACTTGAGAAACTGCTTGTCGGGTCGGCCGAATTTGAGACAATTGAACTCGGCGTCGATGAAGGGACACGTGGAAGAATCGTAGAGAGGGTTAGAGACATCGACGGTCCATCTCCCTTGGAACAAGTTACACCCACTTGTCTGCCTCTGGATCTTTCCTTCGCCGGAGCCGACGGTGGCGTTGCGGTTGCTCCGGAGGCTGACGTGGCGTCGCTTGCCGGACGCAGCCAAGGCTTTATCAGCTCCGGACAAGAGGATGGTCAGCAGCACAAGTGGAAGAAGTAAGAGAGAGATTAGTTTCCCATTCATCTTTCTTTTTTTTAGTTTGAAGGACTTTTTGAAGAAGTTGGCTTGTGGGTTTGCGCATATACATATATATATATATATATGAGTATGTATAGTGTGTGTGTATATATGTATAGACCCTGAGTGGCAGTAGAAAGATTAATTTTCTCTTCCTTTTGGGGTTATATGGGTTTTGGGTCAAAAGCGTGGGTTACCATTTTGTGTATAAATTAAATAGTTTCAAATGTACATAAAAACGCATACACAGAATTGAAGCCTGTATACATTTATTTTCTGTTTAGTTATTTTACCCATATTAATGCAATTAATAACAAATTAAGTATTACAATTAAATTGTCTCGGGAAGTTTCATACAAAATTCTAATGAATTACATAAATAAATGTTCGGCTTATAGTGAGAGCATTAATGACACTTCATATCATAATTTGTTCTATTCAAATATTATATATATATATATGCGTATATTATTTGGAGGTGGGTTGGCACATGAAACATATAAGTGGATATATATGCAAATATTTCATTATATATATATATATATATGTGTGTGTGTATATGGAGGAGAGAGAGACAGATATTTGGAAGGATACGGGGAAGTTTTCACGAGTGGGAAGTGGAGCAGGCTTTGTCTTCCTAGGAGAAATAAGCAACAATAATCCATATTAGAATATATGATTTTTTTTTAAAATTTTGTGTGTGTGTGTGTACGTAATATATTGATTTTTATTATATTTATACATATTTTCACGGGGTTCCGTGAATGTGTGAAGGTTGTCCTCGGACTGCATGTCAACGGGGGACATCTCAATCATTTTCCATGTACCTTTCACATGCTCCTACGGCTCATGTTTATAATTTTAGTTTTTAATTTTCATTCGAATATACAAATAATATGAGCTGGTTTTATACATAATAATATTTTGATTAGCGATTAACACGATTATTCGAAAATCGTAATTTTGTTGCCATTGATTAGGAAATAGAAAAAAATGAAATATTTCTGTTTAATATGCGAGTGTATGTTATTATGTTCTGAATTTAAATTCGAATTATAACAATTGTAAACCGTTTAATTATTTATAAAACTTCAAATTCACTTATCATTGTTGTAGATAAAATTATATGATTTTTTATTATTCATAGAATTTGGATTTGGATACAAATTTCGTCACTTGTATCACTCTTAGATCAAATTCAAGTTCAAATGTTACGATTTGAAAATTATCTATTCTAATAATAACAAAAATAATCAAAATATTTTAATTTTTTTCTTCGATATTACAATATTTAGTTTTTTAATTCAAAAATAAAAACATGTTATCTGTATTTGAATACTTAGGATAATTAAATATTTCGGTTGGAAATAATTTTTTTTCCTTTATAAAAGCCGTAAATAAATATTTAGATTTAGATATTACCGATAACCAAACTTGTTATAGATATATAAAGTTTAGACTTTAGATATTCAAATTTCATAAATGCGGAATGAGATTCTCAAACGTTTGATTGAAACATTAGTATCAAATTTCAAATAATTTCAAATTTTTAGATATTCAATCCGATTTAATCTCTACTTTTTTTCCCCCGTAACTTTTCATGTGCAAAATCCTTTTGTCTTAAGCTTATTTTACCATATGTCATGAACTTATCATAATATATATTATCATCTTTGTATTCAAAAGTAGCAGACGCCTTTTCTATTGTTGAACAGAGCATCTTCCCCTACCTTACACTTTACACTATCTATTCATTTGTTCCCACAATTTATCGTTAATATAAAGTTTGACACGAATAATATGATATATATATATATATATATATATATATATATATAATCTTGTACTTCATAGAATAATCTATAACATAAATTAAGGGTTTAAATTCAATCTCATATAAATTTAAGAATTTGTTTTTAAATGTTTATATGATTTGATTAATTAGAATTACCACATTCTAGGGTTATAATTAGATTTAAACTAGGAACCCATATCTAAATGCTAGATCACATGTTTCCAATTCCTCACATTTCATACATAAATCTCTAATTAAATTTGTTAATGCTGGTTTATCAGTTTCATTAAGGCTCTAAATTTCATATGATAATTTGGTTTATTTTATTTATAGAAAATAATAAATTTCTTCATGCCCATCCATTATTTTGTTCTCTCTAAGTTTTTAAGGGAAACCAAATATTTTATTTGGTGCACCAAATCAATCATTACCCTCTAAATGATCACACTTCCCAATGACAAAATAATTTGGATATATAACGTTTTAAATTTAATGGTGAATGATCGTGTTTTGTATACTTTAATTACCAACAAGAGATAACATTTGTCCTAACATTTATAAGTTCATCACCAAATCATGTTTCCTAAAACTATTACATAATCTAGATTTGAATTACACAAAAAGAAACTCTAAGTAATGAATAGATTTTTCTATCAACGTGTTTTCAAAATTCATTTTTTTATAAAAAATTAATTATCTTTTGTGAATAATACAGGCTTCTAAGGTGGATATTGATATGATCCTATCCAAATATAAGAATAAAAAAATTATATTTTGTGGTTGTCTTCCTTTTTAATAAAATCATATTATTCCTTTGATTTGTATAATTCGGGACGCCGCCAGGCCGCCAAGCCACCAATGAGATCGATGATGACGTGGGCCCATAAGGACACTTGTGGGCCCTAAATATGGCCCACTAACGTCGGCCCAACAAGTGGGTGAAAGTTGCCTACACGCCAAGCTAACTAAATTACACACGTCTCATTTTTTTTTCCTCAAATTAAATTAAGAAAAACGTTGAGTTGGTCAACTAATTTTGGATGAAAAATACAAAGAAATAGTTAACGACAGATTCAGATGGTTCGAAAATTGTAATTTTAGTTGAAATTGATAGGTCGATTATATATATATATATATATATAGAGTTCTCGAGCAGATGTATCTGGACCATTCTCTTTCTTTTTCATTTTTCAGCATTATGGGACCTATGACTCGAGTTGTTATTTTATTATGTTGTCTTGCATACTTGACTGTTATCGGATTCACTTGATCTTCGCTTGTTTTAAGCTCTTATCTAAGGTTGAATCCCGACTTGGAACAAAAGACAACACACAATGTGGAACACATCAAAAGTGGAATGCATGGAGGCATCTTTTAACCTTGGCCACAAAGTTATGCACTCATTTTTCCCTCCTATTCCACTTAGTTCTGAATTTCCTATTCCACATATCACGCCCCTTCGGATTTGAGTGACACCGCGGACGGTGTCTCGTTCAAGTCTAGGGGGGGTGAGCATCTAACATCGGTTCAAGTCCTTTCTAGGATGCATTTCATACATTCACTTGCATAT